TAACATGTTTTACCAACAGTTTTCTTGTTGTAACAGCTGATTTATTTCAAATAATAAACACTGCCCTGTTGTCCAATGTGTTCCTCCAAGGCCAAAAAACAGCAAAAATCAAACTGCTGTTGAAAAAGAGCAACTTGGACAATCTGCTACTGCAGAACTACAGGCCTATCTCAAACCTCACCTTTACCAATAAGATTATGGGGAAGCTGTGCTTCAGCAGTTAAAGAACTTCCCAGAAGTGAATAGCTAGCTTGATGTCTTCCACTCAGGCTTGGATGATCACCTCAGTACAGAGACTGCCCTCATCAAGGTGTTCAATGGCCGCAGCTGTCTCTCCACGTCTGCCTAAAAACTCGATCAGGCAGCTGCAATTAATCCAGAATGCGGATGTCTGTGTCCTCACTAAAACTGAGAAAGTGGAGCACAATACCCCAGTCCTTAAGTCAGTTTAAAACAGTTTCTTTATGACTAACAGAATGGATTTTAAATCCTTCTGTTAATCTATAACCCACCTAACACTGAAATACATCACAGGCCTGTTGTCAATGCATCAGCTGCCCAGGCCTTAGGTTTTCTGGCTCAAATGTACTCCCCATGAAAAAACCAAAAACATTTCCACTATGATGATTTAATTTGAACAAGTTAGGTTCACAAGAGGCTAAACAGAACGAGTTTTATCTGTACCAGAAGGTCCCACAGTAATTAAGCCAGAGACAACTTACAACCTAAAATGGTTCTAAAATCCTCTAAAAGGGTTCTTAACACCATATTTGATCTGTTTCTTTTTTGTTTTTTAGAATCTGCAGACCATTCTATTTGGATCGCAGTTGGAATCATTGCTTTTTTCACTTGTGCAGCTGTTGCAGCTGTGGTATGTTATATGAAGAAGGTAAGTCTATTCTAATGTATCATAAAGATGCATATCTTATGAAAAACTACCTCCTAATTGATTACAGCCGATTTAGGTTTGATGTTAAAAAGTGTGCTACATACACAAAATAATTGGGTCTGTGTTTTATGTCTTTTGTATATGTGATGATTAAAACTAGTTCAAAACTCCTTTTGAGTTTTTATGTTCCAACCTTGATTAGTCATAAATTCATAATCACATTTACTGGAGTATTAAACCACTTTAGAAAAGGAAACTTCAGTCTTTGACTTATATTTAAACTTCTCAACATTACTTTTCAGTTTGGTTTTGGGTGTTTCATAATCTTTTTTTTGAATGTTTTTAACATTTTGTTTCTCACAATTCTCCCTTTGTTGCTGCAAAGAAGCCCCAACCTTTCAATGGGTGTCCAAGAACAAGACGACGACATCATTCAGATCAGGAAGCAAGAGCTGAGGAGGAGCAAATGCTTTAGTCTGCCATGATTCACCATCCCATCCCCTCATGGGCAGCATGGAAATCAAGATAAGAACGACTAACCAGTAATATAAGAGCTTCCACTGAGATAGTTCAGTATACTGTATGTGGTTCTCCAAGTACGGTAGTAAATACCAAGATTATTTAAGTCAGGGGGGAAAGGATCCGCTGCCCTGCAGGTGGAAATACTTAAGTCTGCCTTGAGTCCCCATCACCTAGAAAAATCACCTTAACACTTAACAAACAACATATGTAATGAAAATCAAAATAATATGTAGGGTTTGCAACCATGTTCTACATGATGGGTTGTTCTATTCAATTCAGTTTATTTGTATAACACCAACTCACAACACGTCACCTCAAGGCTCTTTACAAAGATAATTCACCCAGATCATAGAGTCAGATTGGTTCAAAGTTTTCTATGTAAGGAAAACCAACTGATTGTATTGACTCTTTAGCAATCCTTCACACTAAGCATGCATGTAGCAACAGTGGAGAGGGTCAGGGTTTTGAAGAAATACTGTCTTAACATACAACTTGATATATCAGCACAAGGTTTTTGCTTTAGCACCAAAAGTTCCCCTTTGTGGGACCATAAAGGGATTTTTTATTGTTCCAGTTTTAATTTTTTTTTCTAAGCTCCAAAGTATGAAGATGAGAATGTATGGGACTACTCTCATTTTATTTACAAACATTTTTTTCTAATTACTGTATTATTTATGTAAAATGCACATGTATTATTACTTTATTTATGTAAATCACTTTTAATTGTCTCAATTATAATTTTTGCCATGCTTTAAACCCTGACTCGAGAGAAAATATATAAAATTTTAAGAGGATGCTAACTACCTAAGACATGTTAGAAAAAATGGATGTGGTCTACCTGGTGTGGGGATATAGTTTTTGGTTGTTGTCTTTTTTCTGTCTTTTTTTAACCAAAACATTGTTTGCCAAAAAATTATGCCAAAAAATAATAAAACTGCATGTTACCCCACTATCATGATTATGTTTCATGCTTTTCATATTTGACCCCCAGATGAATAAAGAAATGCATTTTAAGAGCAGGTATAATATAACCTTATCCACCAACTGTCCTCTGGGAGGCGCTATTTATCAATAAAAGCCTACCCCTTTTTGTGAAAGTCTGCTCTTGGAACAAATGTTTCTAAACAATATAAAGAACTAACAGCTAGGTTTAAAAACACAGAGGCATATTTGCAATTTGTGTTTTTTAATAAGAATGAAAAATGTATCTATATTATCCATTTTCATTGCTGTAATCGATTAAATTCTTATGTTTTCAATGAGTTCTCAGCACATATTTAAATAAATGTGCATCATCCAAACAACCCTTTGAGAATATGAAGCCCTTTACTCAAAGTGCTGATTTACTTATGGGTTTAATATAAACAAAAAACATTGAACAGATTAGCTTTTGTGCACCTCATGCAAATGGTTTCCTGAATTTGTCTGTAAAGGTGCAAACTGCTCCAGAGCAAACTCATTTGGTCATTGGATAGAACCACATCCTGTGTAGAGAGCAGTGGTGAAAATCGTGAGGTTTCTAAACCAGAAACGTTTGTCTTACCACGGTGAACCTGTCCATGAATGCAAACAGTGGGGGCAACGTGGCTCAACCTATGTTCAAGGAATAAACTTAAGCTGAGAATGAAAATCAGCTTTTCATTGGTTATAAAAGGACCAGATGCACCAGCTCACATCAGGGACACATTAAGGGGAGCTTTTTCAATTACCACAAACATTACTGTTCAGTTCAAACTTGCTTGTGAATTTTTTCAAGTTTAAAGAAACAATTAAGACCGTCAACAACATGGTGGCAAACTTCATGAGTCCAATGAAACTTCTATAATCGTAAATATAGCTGTATGAACCCCCTTTTTCATTTTTATTTTCCATTAATTTTATATTATAAAATAAAGTTTCTTCTTCAATTCTATTTATCCATTACACTACACACAATGTTGCATGTGAAAAAGAGTTGATTAGTAAAAATATGCAAAGAATGACAAACATTTGGGTCATTACATAAAATAATTATATATTTACAGTTATATTTTCATTTAACATAAACATTCAGGCTTATGTGGAGATTTTTTAACCCTTTACTTTACATGCCAGACATAAATTCAAGCTGAAATGTCCTCATCACAACATCAAGAAATATGTCAGAATACAAACAAAGACAACCGACTTTTTAAAAGACAAGCAGGGATCCAGTTATTTTTCTCTCTTGAACTTTTGCATGAGATGGACGCCAATGACAGCCGACGCCATGATGATGAGACCGACTGAGAAGACGACTTTCTTCACCAGACAGACTGAGAGTTCAGAGAGTCCTTCTGCATCTGCAACAATAACACGACCAGTGCAGTAAAATCCTGTTGTCATGAAGGGTAACAGACAGTGTATATCTACTCATCAATTAAGATCTCTACAAATCTGTTAGTTTATTCCATCTAAAGCAGTTTCTTGAATAAATGCTATAATGCAAATATACACTCACCGGCCACTTTATTAGGTACACCTGTCCAACTGCT